CCGGGAGGCCCGTGCCAAAGCCTTTGGTACTTGTAGTTCCCACATCTGTGTCATTCTGGCCTTTTACGTGCCTGGACTCTTCTCCTACCTCACGCACCGCTTTGGCCGTCACACTGTCCCAAAGCCCGTGCACATCCTTCTCTCTAACATCTATTTGTTGCTGCCACCTTCACTCAACCCTCTCATCTATGGGGTCCGCACCAAGCAGATCAGGGAACGGCTCCTGGAAACCTTCACATTGAGAAAAAAACAGCTTTAAAAGCAATAAAAACAATGGGAGCCCAGAGGTGTGGATTGTGTTACCTTTATCTCGTGATCTGCCTGTGACTGATGCTCACTCAACACTGTATTTGCTATGAATCCCCTATCACATCTGCAGACTGTGGGCTACTCATGTATCCTGCTTGGGAAGAGGCAGGAGACAGGGGCTGCATGTTACGATGCCAGGAATAGAAGAAAGACCAGGGAAAATGGTACATGGATTTAAGGAGGTCATGCCTGACCACATTAACCTGTCATCCATGTTCTCACACAATCCACAACCTCTCCAAGTTCTGGATCTGGGAGTCTGGGAAGAGTGCCACTGCCCCAGGAGGCAAGTGCCTGGGTATCTGTCAGAGATCACACCACTCTACTCCTGGAGCCAGATAGCCAGATCCTGTTTTCAGCCTGCCTCTAGAAAGGGGTTATAAGGCTCAGCCCCACCTTCAGAGAGTCTGGATTATGTGCCCTGGGTTACCAATGTGGCCAGGTCAGCAGATCCTCTTGGTCTCATGTACTCACTGTCCCTACTTTACTTCCCTCCCTGCCTCAAAATGTATGACTAGAGTCCTAAGCCTGCAGCTTCTGGAGTCAGGGACTAACAGAATGAAATTTGGATATTCCAGAAAATCACTGTAGCCACTTCGGTGGGCCTGTTTGTTTGAGGTCCAGTCACCATGGCCTTTTACCAGCCTGTCCTTTGTAATCTTCAGCCAAGATTGGAGAATTCTCATGTAAAATCCTCATTTGCACCATTTGCCCTGGTCAGCACTACTAGAAACACGATGAAGCCGTGTGATGAAACAGGAACATTTCACACTGCTACAGCTGCCAAAGTGTGGAGATTTCTTCAACAGAAGAGTCATGGTGTTGCCCAACAGGAGATTCACTTTCAGCTAAGACTCCACGCTGGAAGGAACAATGCCCCCAAATCCTTGACAACAGCATGTACTCCAGGATGAGTGTAACCTCACACAAAAGGCAGAGGATGGTCGCTACTCAGTAGGAGAAAGCTATAAGCTGCACAGACAAACCTCAGTTCACCAGGAAAACTATCACCTCAGCCATTGGTATGAACCAGGAAGCGCTAACCAGGGGCAACCTGACCACCCAGCAGCCGACTGGCCCATGCACCATGGCAAGAACTCACAAGAGGACACTGTGGGCCTGGAAAATCAGTCATGGCCATACGCGGGCTCACTAACAAGGAACTGAAGAGAGAGCGCCAAAGTTGTAAGTGATTGTCATAAGTAAAGTCACATAAAAGCAAGGGGACAAGGAGGAACTTTACAGTTTTCCTCCATTCATATATGGGCTGGGCCATTGTCAAAGGTAACATTTTTCACATGGCTCTAAGTTTAAAAACCTAAAAATGTTAAAAATATATATATACACACACACACACACACACACATAACCTAACCTAAAGATGTAAATGTGTGTGTGTGTGTGTATAACCTATAAGACAATAATTTTGTAGATAATTGTAACGTATTCTAACCCTAATGGGTCCTGAGTCTTTAAGATGACCACTGAGATTCCTCCTCAATAAATCTATCTAACAAAATAATTAGAGATGTGGACAAAGAGGTATGCAGTAAGATATTTATTACAATCTTAATATATAGAAATATAAAGAAATGTCTGACAGTCTGTGTCACACATACACACACACACACATCTTTCCCCCCTCTGCCACATGAAAAGGAAAATCATATGTGGTCATTGCTCATAATGGATGAATTCTGCCACCCTCTACCACAGGAAGCTTCTGGTCTAAGGCACCTGTACTCACCGCTTGTGCACAACGTCGCAAGTGAGATGGTCCGTTTTAAGAATTGTTTTCCTTCAAGGCAAAAATCCATCCCCTTGGACATTTGTATTTTGTTCTGAATCGGGACCACGCACATCCTAAATGTTTAGAAGACCTTGCCATTACCTTCTCCTTCCTCACACCTGAGAACAACTATAAGCCCACAAAACCTTATCTGTGATTCCAAAATAAAAATCTCTCAAGGAACTATAAGTTTTATCCCCATAACCTTGGCCCAAACCAGATTTGAATCATCACAATCTTATTTAGTGTTTATCTCTGTGTGAATATTCATACATTTGGCTGCAGAAATATTGATGTGTTTGATTATAGGGCACAGCCCCAAGTCGCACTGGGATACTCCTTATTCTATCACACGGATGCTCTACACCTTTCTAAAATCTGAAAAATCCTCAATTCCACAACACATATGTACCTAAATGTACATACATCCCTGTAGCCTGAGAAAGTGAGAAGACTTATTAGGGCTGTTAGCATTCTGAAGTCTTTGCTTTTTATACTGTCCCAGCAGTTCTTGCAGAAAACCTTAGGTTCCCTAGATTAGCCACCGCCATGTGCTTTTTCTCTACTCTGGTAACTCAGTATGATGCCGATGATCTGCCTTTTTCCCAGGAAGACCCCCCAGAACACTAAAGCAAACCCCACAAGCAGGGTCTGCCCCAAATAGCCTTGGCCTCATCCGCTCCCTCTAGGACCCAGCTGTCATTTGTTTTCCTTCAGTAACTTTCATTTTCAGATAATGAGCCAAAAGCAAAGAAATACCTGTTTAATGTCAGGGTATGGCAGTGTGGATTTTAGAGAGCTTGCAGAATCATGGTAATCAGACAGCAAAAGAGAGAAGACGGAAGGTAAGGGCTCCAGCTAAGTCACAAGTACCCCATCTCCCCATAACCCTTTCTCTGAGAACAAAAATTCCAGAGATCCTCCTTATCCATTTCACCAAGAGATACCATCCCTGCACCTACCTCAGTCAGCCCCTTCTCATTCTGGAACCCTGAGGAAATGGGTGTACATCATTCTCCTTTTAATCAAGAACCACTGCACCTCTCTTCCCGGTACTGTGGCAGCTCTGCCCTCAATCAATAGCACTTGTCCTCAGGGAAGTCTCTACCTCTGTCTGTTCTACCTGACTCAGAATTTCTTTCTAGAGAGAACCAGAGTTGCCAACTGGACCACACCAGATGATCTTGTCCACGTCAACCATTATTTTAAAAATGTGTTAGAGGTCTTAGGAGGAAGAGAGCAGGTTTCACTTACCTTAACAAGAAACTTAAAGGATCTGATTTGTTCTTGCTTGCCCCTTTCCACTAATTTGCACTTCAACTAGCACAGAGCCTCCACCACAGACTCGGGTAAGCAGAAGGAATGTGCTGGTTTCTCCTTTCAACAAAAAGAACTACCACTTAATGGCAAACGTTGAAAAAAGGCAGATATGGATTGGAATCCCAGATCCTCTATGAACTCACAATATGCTTTGGACTCATTTATTTAACTCTTTGGCCTATTTTTTCACTTCTAAAAGGGGGGAATAATAGTAACTACTTTAATAGCTTACTGAAAGGATTAACGAATAGAATGCACTGCAAGTGTTTGGCACAGCCCCTTCACTTGAAATTAATTCTGGAGCGTAGGCTCATGCTTCCCATCAAATTTTTGCTCAAAGACCTGGTTCTGTCTAGGGAGACCTGTTCTCCCCTGAGGCCAAATACATCTCCTTTAGGAAACCTTTCCTGGCAACACTCTTCCCCCAACTGTAGGATCTTCCAGGTGGCCTATCTCTATACTTACCACCTCAGCCAGCTCAAACTGTGGCCACTTGTGGCCTAGCTCCACATGCTGGCCAGGAGAGAAAGGACATACTACACACACAAAGCTCAGAGAGGACTTTAGAGGGACTCAAGAGGGAACTCTTGGGGTAGAGTGGGAGAATGGCTACTAGAAAGACCCTAGAGTGTTCTTTTCCAGGGAAAAAATCACCGTTCTTTTCCAGCAAATCACCAGGTTGAGATTTGTAGACCGACACAGAGAGGAAATCACCTGTAAATTAGAGCTTATTAAAAGGATACTTATTAGAAACAGATCAGCCTAGAATAGGGAATGCAACATGAAGAAAAATTTCCTCAGATTTACCTGGGGTGGTAAATTTAATGCCAGTTTCCTAAAAGTTCTCTCCAGTTACTAAGGCAACATTATAGCAGTTAGATTCTTTTCCTCCCTGTTGCCAGCTGAGCATGGCAGCCTCCTACACACACACATGACTTTCACTGCAGTTGTAACCTGTTCATTAATAATGGGTTTCAACCTATGATACACATTACAACTGCTGAAGGAGCCTTTAGAAATCCTGATGCCTGGCAAACTCCAGACCAATTAAATCAGAATCATTAGGGCAGTTTGGCAAGGATGGTTAGAGAGGGTAGGATCCAGATATCTGTAATTCTTAAAGCTTCTGGTTAATTCCAAAGTGCTGCCCAAGTTAAGCTCTGCTCAGTTCTCACTAAGCCCTGATCTAAACTTATGCCACATCCCTCAAAACTCCAATTAAACCTCACAGAGAAGGCAGCAGCAGCTGACAAACAGCATAATGAACTGCTTCAAGGAGACTAGTGAAGGGAGGAGTCAGATCCTATCGACCAAGAACTACATACACACATATATAAACAACAACAAAAAGAAACAGCCCACACCCTAACAGACACCTGCATTTTTGCCCCCTGAGCAGGAGAGTGGAATGGTCCCTCAAAAGCTTAGGTATATATATGAACTTAGGCTATGGGTATATAGTGAGTTTAGGAAGCAACTGCCCTCTCTCGCCCAAGGCCCCGTCACCAAGCAGGACCTCTATGACCTCATGCTGCAGTAGACCAACGCCTGAGGCTGGAGTCTCACCTCCCTGGCAGCTTGGGGTACCTGTAGCAGCCACTGCCCTGCCTATCCCCTCCCGACCCCACCATGTTAGTTGGTACCCCCCACCTGCTGACACTGGATGAAGCTGATGCTACCTGGACCCTCATCAAGGACAAGGTAGGTAAAGCAAGAGGGCCAACAAGGAGATAAAGTATAATCTAGAAGGGCCTGGGCAGCTTATGTGTAGAAAAGGGTGGAAGCCTGAAGATGAGGACAACTAAAATACTCTGTTCCTTTTTATATGCCAGGCATTTACTGAGTGAATTGCTTTATACAAACTCTCCAATTACAACTATAAAGCAGTAAGAAAGGTTCCTTTAAAGGCAATTATAGGGAACTAGGAAAGCAGAGAGGAAAAATGACCAGTCAGGGGTAGGACTTAGGGGGTCAAGAAGGCTTCCTGGAGAAAGGAACATTCTAGCGAGGAGTAATTCACACACAGAGAGGAGGAATAACAGGCACACAAATGGTGCTTAGTAAATACCTGAAGGACTTCATGAGCAGGTGGGCAGATCAGTGAACAGTATACTATTTAAAGGTAAAGCGTTTGCAAAAGTCAAGAGAGAAAAAAAAAAGTTTGGGAACCACAAATATTCTTCCAGAGCAGAATTTAAAAGAGCAATGGTAAAAAGGAGAATGAAGAGGAATGGGAGCTGATTATAAAAGGCTTTGTAAGCTTTTTAAATAACCTGAGCCTTACCTTTGACCTTTTCACTTCTCTCCACCTTAATTTCACAGAATGAGAAATTTTGATTTTTGAGTCAAAAAGGTAGATTTCAAGGAGCAGGCAGATCTCAACTGTAGCTGTGTTACAGGTATCCAACAAATCCCACCAAATTGTGTCCATTACAAGATTCTAAGTTTGAGATCAGGATCTGGTTCTGGTTCTGCCATCAGAGTACAGTGAATGTAAAGGACTTGTAATAGGCAGCCCATCAACTTTAAAAGTACCATCCTAAAGGTGCCTACCAGACTCCTTAATTAATTCCTTGGCTAGATGCCAAAAGACTAGTCCTCAAGCCACTTCAGCTGGTCCAAAGTGCAGGGCAGCTTTTGTGACGTGCAGCCCCAAGGGAAATAAAGCAGCTACTCGCACAAAGGTGTTTGCCAGGGAAGCAGAAATGGATCCTCCCAAGTATCAAAATAACTAGTTCAGTGGGTGGAAAAGTTGATCCCAGACTACATCAATCAGAACTAGAAGGGAAGTACTATTAGAAAGTATTACCACCTCAGATATCAGAAAACTCCTTGTCCTATTTAAATGAGAACTCATCAGAAAAGTTGGGGTAGATTTGCAGGATAAACCACTGGCAGTAGGTGACAACTCAAGGAGTGGGGCTCCTTTGAAGTCCTTTCTCCACAACTGCTGACAGTTGGACATTTTGTAGACCACTTGGCTCAAGAGCTCCCCCTTCAGAATTTCAACCCAAACAAGGTACACCCAGAAAGATGATCTCCCACCAATCACTTTCTTGGGTTGCCTTTGCGACCTAAATTTGCAGGCCTCTAAGTTCCAAAGAACTTCTACCCTGGGAACTGGTAGCAGTCTCAAATGGAAACTCCACGAAGAACAGTCATCTTAGGATTGAATTTGAGTGCCTTATTTTCCTATTTTAGAATAATCACTGGGGCCTTGCAAGGGTAAGAAAGAGGACCTAGTAAGACTGCATGGTAAATTCATTCTAGAAGAGTTTCCAGCTAAAACAGGGATTCACCTTTCAATAGAAACTTGCACCATAAGAACCAATTATTTTAAAGTCACATTCATGGTAGAGGGATTGCCCCTGAGACATTCCCATTTGTCTTAATTGTACAGGAGCATAGAAGCAGTTAGGGTAGGATTCTGAGTTAAACTGGATGATTAAGCTTTCACTGTCATGGGCCAGAGCATTCTATTCAAACATACCCACCCACCAGTGTTCTGCTCTCACCTCTGGAAACCCACTGGCCCTTCTCAGTCTGATGTCCCCAAACTGTCTCAGTAATGCAAAGGAGAAGAGATGATGGGAATTTTTTCCATGCAGTGTTAAGAAAGAATACCAGTCAATTCCTCTCAGCTAGATTAAAAAAAAAAAAAAAAGACTAGTAGTTTTCAAGTCACCTCAGGTGGTCCAAAGTGCAGGCACAATTCCAGTTTGCTACCCACCCCTTATGCTAGGAGGCATAATTCCAAAACCATTTTATGTAGCAGAAAGCAGATTGGCTTTAAGGGAGCAGAGATGACTTTTACCAGTAGGCCAACAAAGTAGATCATGGTATCAGTAGGGGCACAGACATGTGGGGTTTAGGGGCTGGGAGTGGGGAGCAGGGTATACAGCATTTTAAGACTAGGTGTGTCCCCTGGCAGAACACAGAAGTTTCAGCTCTAGTATCTGGGATGCATCAAGGTAACACCTAAGTACAATTACTACAGAGGATCTGACAAGTTTTCCCAATTGGTCATGAAGTTAAACTTTCAGAACTGAGTTACTCCGCCCCAAATGGCCACAACTTGGATAAAACCAAAAGGAACTAGCACCCCTAAAAACATACTGGAACTAACACTACAAGTATGAATCCAAATTTCCCTAAAAAAGAACTAGGGCAGGTGTACATTAATGATTACAGACACCACATAATACTGCAACTTCTAAACCTATTCTGTGTACCCATTCCTGGTTCATGACATCACCCATTTAATCAGTCACCTAAGAACAAAACTTGAGATTCCAAGTTCCGCCCAAGAGTGCAAAGTTCTAACCTAAAATATCTTGCCGTTATTCTAGTGAAAGACCTCACCCTGTTTGCCTGCGGCACAATACTCTGAACTGATCTTATTTTATGCCTTGCTATTCAAAATTAGCTTTCTAAAATGCCCATCTGATCCTGTCCCTCCAGAGGACTTCAAGTGGCTTCCTATCACTCTCAAGATAAAATTCCGTATATCTACAAAGCCTTTCATAATCTAAACTCTCTGTGCCTGTCCTTATTCATAGCATACATTTAAGTAGTATGAAATTTTGTGTGCTTTTAATTTGTAAGTTCGGTCTTGTTCACTGGCTGTTCCCCTGGCTGGGCCTACCCATCCTCCTACCTGGTTCAGGCATTCAAAGCTCAAATATTACCATCTAGTAACCTTTGATCCCTTGCCTAAACACAAAGAGTGCTAAATCACTTTTCATCTCCCTCACAGCTTGCTATTATGTTACTTAGCTGACTACGGTTTACATTTCTGTGTCCTCCATTAGACTGAGCTATCTTGGGACAAGGACAAAGTCTCATTCTTTTACGCATTCCCAGTATCTAGCAGAGTCTGGCACACAGCAGACATTCAAGATTTTGCTACAGGAGAGAACTGAGAGATAAGCAGGAAGTAAAACGGTCTCAGCACATTGTGAGATGTAATCAAACAGGAACAGTGGGAAGGTGAACCCAGAGTAGGTTAGAGGAGGTTACCAGTCATTCTGCCCAACTCAGTCCTCGCCTATAAACTACAGGTCGTCGAAGAGCGCTTTGGGCCCAACGTAGTGGCAGTACCGTTCCTGTCGGACGCAGCCTGCTATGATCTGCTGGGTGTGCTAGTGAAGCAGGCCCGCCCGGCCCACACCCGCCTGGCTTTGCCAGGCCGGCAGGGTCGGAGGGCACTTCAACCAGTGGGGCTGCTACCAAACCTCCTGGAGCAGGCAGGGGCTGAGGGCACCTTTGCACACTGCACTCGGGAATACTCACCAAATGGCCGAGCCGAGACAGCTTATGAAGAGACTCGCCTGTTAGATGGGCAGCCCTGCCGCATCCGCCTGCACATGGGGGGGCTGCGCAAGAAGGTGGCCTTCCTGCTGCTGCCACCCGGGCAGGTGAGCCTACAGCAGACTCTTCCCTGGCTTCGGAGCGCCCACAGCATCTATGTCATCTACCAGGTCTTCTCCTGCTCCTGGCTGCAACTGGGGCTACTCCCGACCGCCCAGGAGCCCCAGCTGCTGCGATTACAACGGTCACTGCCTATTGCCTTCTCCTGCCTCAAGTTTTCACTGCAGCCCAAAGGAGTCCTGGGACCACAGAAGGCCCTAGGCAAAGATCCACTGCCCCACGGGGCCAACTGGGTCAGACCCAACCTCAACATCATGCCAGCCCTGGCCCCCACCTCAGACCCTGCTGATACCCCTGAAGCTGCAGATGTGCCCCCACCTGTCCCAGCCCCACCCACACCACCTCCCCAGGAAGGACCAGAGGGCAGGCACATGAGATTCTCCTCCAAGGGCCGCAACCCTTTCCGAAGGGGGCCCCAGATGTTGTCAGGTACTGCTAGGGGGAATGATGAGAAGAATGGGGTAAGGTGGAGAAAGGGCATGGGAAGCATAGCCCAGGAATGTGTGGGGCACCTATAACGTGACCCTGGCAAGTGGGGGAGGGGGTGGATTGAGAGTGTTGGGGCGGGTGAGATGGAAGTATGATCTTGGTGAGAGAGTGGGCACAGCAGAGAAGGACCAGAGGGAGGGACAGGGAGGCCGAAAGACCAGGGCATGAGTCAAGCTGTGACTATCCCCAACCCTGGCAGAGAACTGGCTCTTCAGCCCCCGCAGCCCCCCACCAGGAGCCCAGGGTGGGGGCCCCGGGGACCCCGACCGGCACTCCATGTCCCTGCCCCTGCTGCAGGGTCTGTCCTTGGAGTTCGACAGCGAAGACTGAAGCTGAAACGAGAGATGCAGGGGGCAAGGCCCCCAAGATCTGGCATAGGGATACTGGTCCCCAATAAACATCAGCTGCTGCTCCCCCAAACCATCCTGAGCCCTTACTGCTTCTTCCTTCTGGGGGTCAGAGATGGGGGAAGAGTCCCTACTTTTTCCCCTGGATTCATGCCTCTTGACCCTGCAAGGGCACAAGGGGCACGTTGGAACACCTTGGCACCCATATCCTCACCAAAGATAAAAAGTACTCCTGTCCCCAGCTATGGACAACCTTCCTGGGAACCCGAACCATAGAAAAAGGGTGGGAAAGAATAATGAGCCCAGAATAGAGATATCCCTTTTATACATATTGCAACAAGTTCTCATAAAACATTCATCTGAAATAAATTAAAAAGTTTTCTTGCCACTGCCTCCAAACATAAAAAGGAGCCTACTCCCTGGCCGCAGCCTAGGCCACTCAAGGCCCTGATTGTCCACGGAAGAAAGTTAAGGGTTGAGGGACCCAACGCCTGAGACAGGAGGGCTAGATGCCTCCTCTGAAGAATCCAACAAGAAAGGCGAGGTGACGGCGTGGGCCTGGGAGATGGCAGCCAGCTCCTTGAGAAACTCGGGGAAAATGACTGCGCAGTAGACAGCATTCTTGACTCGCAGAGCCTCACCCTGGCGCTCCGGGGCCCCGCCCCGGGGAGGAAGAACTGGCGTTGAAGCCCCAGGGGAACTCCCACCTAGGCCAAGTCCTGCTCCATCTCTCCCAGGCTGAAGAACTAGCTGTGCTGCCTGGCGGGCCCGGGTGGGGCTGTGTGCATGCCGCAGGAGCAGCTCCCCCAACGATGGTCTCCGGCTCTTCACTGGAACAGACGGATATCATGAAAGGGCTGGTGTCAGGAAGACTCCCTTGGTCTGAGAGACTTCCCCCCTCCCTAGGTTCATGAACCACCTGGCTTGGATTCTGAGGGAACGGAAGAAATAGACAACATGGGCCAGAAATGAACCTGTTACCATTTCCTGTCCCATCCTCCAAGAGGACTGAGGACTACAGTGGGCAGGGCCCTTCTTCACTCTAATGCAGAGATACTGCCTGCCCAGCCCTCTTCCCTCCAGGCAACCTCCCAACCAGCCAACTTAACTTCTCAACCAATCAGCACTTCAGCTGCTTCATTCCCAGCCAACGCCTTCTTTCCCCATCCATCCTCACTCTCCAGCATTCCCCTCCTCTCCTCCCTTTCTAATCACTAGTCCACCATCACCAAGCTATTTCTCCTCAATCCAAAACTCAACCTTACTTCATGTTTCCTGTCATCCTCCTGAACTAGTCAACCACTTCCAGCTTCACCCTGCCTTTCAGAATCACCCGACCACATCCTGTTTCTTCAGTATACAGGCTCCATATGCAATCTAGTTCAGTGGCTTTCTGTCACAATCCACTAGTCCTCCATGATGTATTCCACCGCAGCACCCTTTCACCTACCCATCCGCCTCCCACAGACACCCTGCCACTGGTTACAGCCAGGTAACTTCACATCAGCTTGGGTTCAAATGCACCATTTAAAACAATGATCCCCTCCTTGGATTTTCTGCACAGACTCCTCACTGTGCAGACCTGATCCCACTCTCTACCTCCAATACTGGTTTGAGAGATCCAGACAGATCTCTTAAATGTGGCATCTAGAATCCTTCACAACCAGGTGCACAGACCACCTTCTCAAGAACTCAAAAACCTACCCTTTTACGTCTATATGAAGATACTCTTCCTGGGCTCTGATTTTCAGGCATTTGTAGGTCCCCCCATCTTACCTTTGCTTTCCCCACTATTTTCATACTTGAGATTTTAAAATTCCACTAACTCCATCTCTGAGAAACCTCCCATATGCCCTCCACTGACTTTCCCGTCTATTACCCTTATCACATTGTATTTGAACAACTTGTTTACATGTCTCCTACCTCATACACTAATCTGTGAGCCTAAGAGCTTGGACTATGTCTTAATCACCTGTACCTTGATATCCACAGTGAGCACAGTACCGGGCCTGTGGAAGCAGAGTACTAGGCCCTGAGAAAAGTTTGCAATGGAATTGCAGCTAGGTCTGCACTGCTAGAAATACCCTTTCTCAAGCCATATGCTTTCTCCTGAAGCCCCCACCTAACCTCTGCTCTCTTGTTCTCAGCATTTTATTCTGCCTCCCATTTTATTTAACTAGCAAATAAAAGATACCAATTCCCTAACCTCCCACCCCCCACATACACTACACAATGCCCTATCATTTCCTCACTTGCCTCTTCTCATTGGCCTCAAAGGGAAACAATAACAACCTTTTCCAAAGCTGACCCTTTGCTGGAGCTCTGGATCCCACTCCCTCCACACCTTTAGGACCTGATTCCTCCATTATGATATTCCTAGATCACACTCTGGAGAACCAGCTCCAGAAGGCAGAAGAACTTATCTTGAACCTCCCTGAATCCCCTGTACCAAAGACAGCTCCTACCCAAACTGGCAAGTGCTCAGATACTTCATGAAAAATCCAGATTATAACTTTGTGATCTTTCTTCTTCATGCCTCGTAACCATTCAGCAGATCCTGACTAAATTTCCCTTTCATTTTCTCCTTACCAAAGTCTCCTTATCTACCGCCATTATTTTAGTTAAAACCTTACAGCTCATATGTGCATTATTATGGCAGATGCCTCCTGACTGCTCTTCCTGACACCATTATCTCTTAGCTCAGCTTCACCTAGCAACAAACTAACATACTCATCATTCTAACCTCTTGGTCTAAGAACTGATATCTCACCACCTGAAAGAAAAGATCCCAACTTCTACTCTGTTTTTCACTTTTCAAATCCCTCCTCTCAACTGTCTGTTCCATCCCCTGTACAAAAAGAATGAAGTCCTCTCACCCCCTTCCCAACTCTCACCTATCTCCCAAGGCTCTTACTAAATGCCTTATTCTTTTCTGGAACACTTCCTCAACCTAGAGACTAAGCTTGCCTATTCCCAATTGCCTACTCAATTCTCACCACGACTTAGTTCCCAGCACCAGGCTTCCCCTTTAAGAAGAGTTCAATTAACCTGGGCTAGTCAGTAACCTAGCTGCCTAGGCAACCTAGGGAAACGGGTGGCGAGGTCAGTCTCACCTAGGGGATCAGAGCGGCGGAGGGCAGGTCCTGTCGTAGGGCCCTCAGCCCAGTCCAGCTTGCCACGGGCAATGAGGTACTTCTTGGCTTTGGATAGCAGAGCTGGGAAATCCTCCTGAGAGGCCGCAAAGTTCTCAATCTTATTCTTCACAGAGCCCAGCACCTACAAAGCACAACCTCATGGCATTTCTGGGTGGCTCTAGACTGACACAATCCTTTCTTTTCCCAGGAAGCCTGTCCCCAGCACCCCCAGGGCCACTCCAGATGTGGGCCTCGCCCACCACGGAGCCTGGACGCACCCATGCATGCATGCATCGCACACCTGCAGCAGGGACTTGACACTGGGCTGGAAGACCATGTTGGTGTTGAGCAGGAAAGAGCGGAGCAGGGGCTGGGGGTGACAGGCTAGCTGGGCCACCAGCCCCGTCAGCAGGAAGTTGACATAGACGGAGTTCTGCAGCATGTTCTCGAGTTTGGCAAAGAGCACAGCCATGAAGGGGCCTGAGGGTGGTGGGCACAAGGATATATGGCCTGAACACAATGCGCCTGGCACGCATTCCTCCCCAAAACAAAAATCCCCCATTAGATGAAAATTACTTGGATGTGAGGCCCTGGGTATGTTTAAATATTCTATGACTACCTACTCTGTGTAGATTAGATGGCAAACACCACATGGACCCAAGTCCAGTTGCCAGCTTTACACACATTCAAGCTGAAGAACCAGATCATTATAGGCTCTGGACTCAGGCAGACCTGGTTCCAATTTCAGCTTTACTGTTTACTAGTTATTGGATAAATCTAAACTGTCCAAGTTTAGTTTCCTAAAAAAATAAAATATACCCACCTTAGAAGATTATTAAAGCAATACTAGTCAGAGAGATATAACACATTTAGCCCAAGATCTATCAAAGTATATAAGTTTAATAATAGCTACAAACTGTAAAATTTCTCAGTTTTTAACAAGTTTCAAATAAAAGATACAAAAGAACAAGTGAGAAAGCCATTAAGACCAAAAAAGAGAATCACATTACACACAAGACAGAGGACAACACTAGACCTGGGTAAGAAAGCAAGAAGAAAGTGTAGCAAAGTGCAAGGAAAGGGACTCTATGGGTCAACTTAAAGTTAGGGGAGGAATCTTGGGACGACCAGAGAAGAAACTAGTTCTGTCCTTCTAAAGCTAGGAACCACGAAGGTGAAACAGACCCTATAGGATAGTGTAGAGCGAGAGGAAACTGAGTGGGGACGGACTCTTTGGTGAGGAATAGGTCAATGAAATATTAAAACCATCTACTGGGAGAAGTGGCATTAACTAACACTAGGTTCTAGAATCCTAGCACTCTGTCTGATCTGGTATTAGTATACCTAAGAACTGCACTATGAATTGCTCAGAACAAGGAAGGGCAAGAGGCAACAAATGCTGAAAAGACCCTAGAACATTTTCCACCCCAGATGGACATAATTAGCCTTAGCTCCAAAGTCAGTCTTGGCATGGTCCTAAAACACCCAACAGTTTTTTTTCCTTTTGTCACCTCATTTCCTGGGACTTTGTTGCAACAGAAAATTTCTCAAAACCTATGCGTTTACTAAAAAGAGAAATGGGACAGCTTCAATTTAGAGTTTACTACAAAGAGAAAGTGGTAAAACCTGCACACTATCTTCTAGTGGTATTGAGCAAGGAGGAGCCAGGAGAAAGGTTAAAGAAATGGAGAGCTATTTCTGTAGTACACAAGCAGGCCTGTCCTAACTTGAGCAGAAGCTTATGGCAGCAGACCCCAGGCATTTATGGGATCTGTACTGATCAAGGCATGAGGACCTGACTACAAACTGGAAGGTGGGTGAGTGCCTTGGTCACCAGAGAACTCCCATGTGCCTAAGAGAAGACAGGGCCAGGAAAAAGCTACACTCGCTGAGCTCTCACAGTGGACCTGCAGCACAGTGATTTACACACCCAGTGACA